GGTCAAAGTTTCCAAAGCCCTTTACACAGAATTGAAGACTTGGCTTGACAACAAATGCTTCCAGATGACTGACTTGAGCAAAGCGTCGAACATCATGACTTCACGCTATGTATACAAATGGAAGTTTGTCAAGAACGAGAAGGGCGAAATGGAACGGACGATCAGGTTACGCTTGGTACTTCGTGGCTTCATGGACATTGAAGCCTTCGATGTCGAAACCTTCTCTGGCACGGCAAGGAGGTCAAACCAGAGACTGCTCGCAAGTTCTGCTGCATGCAACAAAGCTTGGATCATCGCTTCCCTGGATATCAACATGGCTTTCTTGAAGGGACTGACCTATAGCGAGCTCGCCGCGGCAACGGGCGAGAAAGAGCGTGTGGTGTGCTTCGCACTACCTCCTGGGTCAGCAGCTGTCCTTCGCACATTGCCAGGCTTTGAGTCATATGACGAATCAAAGCATTGTCTTCGGTGCCTGAAGCCGGGGACTGGCACGAAGGATGCTCCCAGGGCATTCTCGCTGAAGCTCAGGTCCATCACCAGGAGCTTTGGACTACAGCCTACTTCGTACGATGAAGAGTTCGAGATGAGTTCAAACCTCTTGACAGCCAAACACGTTGATGACATCAATATGACTGGGAAAGAAGATTCCATTGATAAGTACGTCAAATGTGTTGAAGATACGTTTGGAAAGTGCAAACTGAACAAGCACACATGCACAAACTGTGCCGTTCGGTACAACAAGACCGATGATGGGAGCGTCACTCTTGATCAGGACGAATACATCAAACAACTTCGTCCTATCACACATCCAGAGCTCACAGGCGCTGATCCTGAGAGCAAAGCGACAAAGACGATTTCTGATATGTTCGTCAGTCTTCGTGGCGCTCTAGCCTATGCGTTGATCACGCAGGTATGGCTGATGGTCTATGTTGTTTCACTGCAACGTATCCAGGAACCGACAAACATCCAGGTACGACGACTGAACGCGGTTACCAGGAAGTTGCAGGCAGGTCCGAAGAAGATCGCGTATCAAGCTATGACTCCAACAGGAGAGGTCGACCTGCATAGCGATTCTGGCTATCGTCGTCTCAACGGAGATGAAGACGACGAAGTCAAAGGCTACGGTATCCGCGGGGCTAACCTGCTGAGGCGTGGCCACACGCAAGCGGGGAAACCCGTCGTGCACCTGGTGGACGCATACTGCAAGTCTCATCGACTGCAGGTGCGTTCGAGCTACTCTGCGGAAACACTGGCAGCAGCCCACAACTTGGAAGACTGCTACCCGACCATTGTAACGCTCCACGAGCTACACTCGGGACCATTGACCCCCACACAGTTGAAGAACATATTGGAACTGGGTGGTCTATGTATCAAAGTCACTCTGACTATTGATGCCGAGTCTGTCTTCAAGTCTTTGTCTAGCAAAGATCTGAAGAAGCCCACAGAATGCACTCTGCTTGGGCACATCAGCTGGATCCGCCAGATGATGGAGCGCGGAATCGTTGAAAGCGTCCAATGGTGTGACACGCGGGATATGACTGCCGATGGTCATACCAAAGGTAGTATTGACCGCGCGTTGCTCCTACAGGTAATGGCCGGTCAGCAATCCTTCAAGCACGAGCTGAAGAAACATACTCCGTATAGGGCGGGCAGGTCGTCTCAGGACGGCCCTGCCTCCCGAGCTAGCGGGGAAACCCGCACGCAGGTGCGCTTTAGTAGCGAGGAAACTCGCCGGTAGCGAGGCTACTCGCGCGCCCTTGCCTTGTAGGCAGCCGCTGTTGCCTAGCACTGTTTTTCCGCGTAATGTAGAAATGCGGTGCTTGCTCGTCTCCTCCCCCTCCAACTTTAAACGGAGAGGGTTAAAGGCGAGATGTAAATCGAGCATGCACCGCTGCCGTGCCTGGCTCAAGCCGGGCCCGGCCGAACATGTGATTGTGCCTCACCGAGGCGCACTACTCGCATCTGAGATCGGAAAAGACCTTTCTATTGAAGATGCCCCTTCTATCCTTTACTCCAGATCCCATGCTTCATCTTGCTCTCTTGCTCATGCGGTATGAGCCAAAGCCTGGGATATGGGAGCGCCTAAGGCGGAACATATATCTTGGCTTACCAGTGCGTTTTCGACTCATGGGGGCTTCTAGGGTCGTCGTGGGGCGATCTTGGGAACATCTGGGTCCGTCTTGGAGCGTCGGAAAGCCGAAAAGGCGCGAAGGCCGAAAACCTTCAAACACTTTTCTGGGAAATCGTTGATTCTTGCTGCGTGGGGTCCTCTTGGGAGGCCTCTTGGGCCGTCTTGGGAGCATGTTGGGCCGTCTTGGGGCTGGGACATCTTGGGGCCATCTGTGGCCGTCTTGGCCTCCTGAGGCTCTATTCGGAGCCTGGTCGGGCAGTCTTGGAGGCCTCTCGGGCCATTCTGGCCGCGCGGTGGCGTCACCATGAGAATCCTGGGGTGGGCCGGAGCAGCCTGGATTTGAGGTTCCCCCCCCCGTTGGCTGTTTGG